AAAAAAAAAAAAAAAAAAAAAAAAAAAAACGGTTGTTCCAGTCCCCTAATCACCTGATTAAAAATATGTGCCTTTATAGTGATGAAAAACTGCATTTCTCTGTTAGAAAGCAATAAATATCTCAGCATTTTTTTCCGTTGCATTACCGTGCAAACAGCAAGAATAAAAAAGAAACAGAAATCAACGGACCAGTATTGAAAAACGGGAAGAACACCAAAAGCACTGTGAAACTGCTTATATCGCACTATTTTGGAAGACACTTCTCAGGAAACCACATGATGAAGAAAAATTTGTCAATACATCGTTCACTTGCCAAATTAAGTGTTAAACTGCTGATTCAGAAAAATTTGTGACACTTAGTCAACAAGTAGTCGTTTCCTAACTGTAAAGACAAAAATTTGCAATCGTGTTCAATTAGAAGTCCGTCTGAACTTAAAAGTCCGCTTCTATACATTTTTACTCTTTCAAAAACCCCTAAAATTTGCTGCCTGTGCTCCACAGATATCAACTGATACGCATACCTCAAACTTTTGTAAACCTACCTCTGTAGTTTCAAATTAGTTTTGAAAACTTCATATCGTTTTTGTTTAATCACACAGTACAGCCATCATCACGGGTGGAAATAAGATATCTTTGTGATAATAATGAAGAAACTTTATAATTTTGACGGTTCTAAAAAGCTAACGCGATCTTTCGAATGCACAGCTTCAGTGTCTCACTAGACGTGCACGCTAAACGACACTTAAGAAACCTCGTACAACAACTCTTGTTACCAGCAGAAAAGCATGGTTGCTACCAATTTCTCAATGAACGAATGATATATGGTTATGGTGGGGTTAGTTCTTCTTCTTCCTATTTTCCCAGTTTTCGCTCTCGGTTCTTCCTTTCCTTCTTTCTCTTTGCCATTCCCCAGAGACAGTCCTTACGAAGTGAGCAAGCCATGAAAAGAGGTTAATCAGCTAGAAGTGGCTTGACAAGACATGATAAGAACTGCGGTTGTAGATAGACTATTACGCTATCTATAACAGACAGTGATAATTTTGACAGATGACAGGTAATCTTAAAACGACCCAATCTTTCAAAAATTCTGCGTGCTGATTGAAAGAACACTGTTCACTCTGCAGAGTTTTTTACTCTTCTCCAAGTCATTTTTAAGTTCTTGTTAGAAAGCTACTTCAAACTTATTTTACCTTTGTTTTCACTTCACTTTCCACTTCTTACCAGTGCCCAGAGTCATCGGCTACAACTCGGAAGACATGAGACGTCGTCGCTTTGCTTACACTGCCCTGTTCGGTTTAAAATTCGCGTTAACTTTCCCTGCCATCTCAAATTGAATGCCATATACCACAGAACTGTTGATTTTTGCTTACTATCCTATATCAATAAGTAATCTTGCTTTCAAAACAAAAAAGGAAAGTTTTTTTTGCGGGACAGTAAAAAATTCAAAAAATTTTTAGAAAAAATACCTAACAAAAAATGTAGTGCAGAACGCCGCAACAGCAAATTTTAGTATTTCTAGCCTTTAAAAATGAAATACAATGCATTTGCGAAAATATCTACAAATTTTTTAATCGTCCAGTGTAATGACGTCTGCGATAAAAACTAACTTGGGCAGTGCAGATAGAACTTACAAGGCCGTATCGTTCAACTTTAGAACGGAACTCAAAACAAGATACGATATCAATGGTTGAAAATTTTTGGTCTAACCCCCCTAACGTGCTGGTTGTATGATACACCTCTTCCAAAATTTCAAGACTGTTAAAAATGTACTGGCCTCCTGACCGCTTTTTCTCTTCTGAGCCATGTTCGCTTCTTACCTGTAAGGGGACTCCTCTCGAAACTCCCTCTTAGTATTCTCACGAGGCGGAAAAAGAGAGAATAAAAACTAAAGACAATAATAAGAGACCTTTAAGAACTGAAATAAAATGATAATACACGAAACTGATATGATAGAAAGACGACTGGAATGGTATTATGCAAAACCATAGTGAGTATTAAAACCACAACAGTTCTTAGTTTATTTTTATACAGCAACATGTGGCAACAAATATTACAAAAAAGAACTGGTCGCAAGACATTTAAACTTATTAAAAGAAGAAAACTGGCAAGCATCCTGAAAAACAAATTGGCGAAAGAGCGGATAACAAAAACTTAGTAGATAACCGAAGCATAACAGCTTCTTTTGTAAAAGCAATAACCCTTGAGCAAAAAAATAAATCCACCCAATTTTTTTTTGAAAAAATAAGGCAATTGAAAAGAAAACTGTAGTGAGCCAAGCATTACTAAGCCTTCGGAACTTTATTATTAGTAATCTAAAGAAAATAGGAAATGCATACGCCCACGTGCGCGAAAAAACAAACTACCTGGTCAAACTAACTTTTTTATAGGAAAAAAACCCAGGAAAAAGCTTTAAAATTTCGAGAGAGAGCTAATAGTGTATTAAAAATACAGAAATCCTTAAGAGCTTATTTCTTTATTTAGAAGCTGAAAAGTTACTGCCGAAAGTGTTCAAAAAGTGAGATATGGTGCAAAAAGACTTTCACAACTATGAATGCAAAAGAAGAAATTACAATAGAGAATTACTCATAAAAACAGTTTAATATCTGAGGTAAGTCAAAGACGGTCACTTTCAATCAGACCCCGTGTCATCTTCATACGCAGCAATCAAACGCGGGACGATTTCCTAAAAAAAAAGCCAGCAATAAACTATAATTAAATTTCTTCGAAAAGAATCAACTTTTTACAGAATTTGACAAACTTCAACCTTTCCAACGTTCCTTTTCACAAAGAGAAATTTGAGAAAAGTTTAACACAATCACCTCAGTTGCAGCAGTGTCCTTAAACTGAACGACCTTACCGCTCGAACCACCAATACCAAGAAAACCGCCTTGTTTCCTCCTCAACTCCAACTTAACACCTTGTTCTATCGGCACTGGAGGCTTGATATCCGCATAAAACAATTCCCATTCAGTTCCCCATGAACCCACAATATCACTTTTCTTCGAGAGGAACACTCGCCTAAACAGCGACTTATAAAGACAGCAACCAAACGAGATAAAAAACTTCAAGAAATCCAGAAAAAGAAAAAATAAGTCATCATTTCTGCTTACTTGTCGGTCACTATAAAAACACATTTCTCCGATATTGCTGAATATCCAATAAAATGATCCGTTTGTGCTATCGACCCATGATTCGTATCCTGCAAAAGTAGATAAAAATATGCCATACGTGATGAACGGACACCCATAAAGAGCTAAAAAAACAACGAGGAAATAGAAAAACCAAAGACAATTCCTTCGACTTAAATTCTTAAGTACCAGGAATTGAATCAGAAGGAGATGGACAAGTGCAGGCAATCCCTCCTTCCAGTACTGACTAACAGTTAAGTGTAGGTTCCAATAAATAGAACCGATTACAACTAGAATAAGATTTTTGAACTGTTCAGCAGCCAGGCAAAAGCAAATTTTGGAGAGCGAAAAAACGTTGTAGGTAGCAAAAAAGGTAAATTCTGCAAAACTTGCAAATATGCACATCCTATACCCGAAAAACTCTCGCTCCAATAGCACTCTTTTGAGAATATGGGCGCACTATATTGTCAGGAAGAATTACTCTGGGTGGGCGTAAGGGCTTCACTCCATGCTCTCCACTGGCAATACTAAATCGGATAAAGTAAAACAAACCAAACAACACCAAACGTTAAAATCCACTTGCAGCAAGCTGTGGTTAATACTTAATTATATTCAACGAAAACAAATTTGAATATCACAAAAAGAGCAGCCAGTTATAATTATCAACTAGAAAACAGAACGATAATAAACATCAATGTTTCAAAAAAAGTTCAATATACGTATGAAAATAACGCACGTTTTGACGGCGTTTAGCGAAGTGCTTGCACAGTCGACGACACCTGATACTGGTCTCGTAACGGCTCCTACTAAACCTTTCCCAAGGCCTTTTGCAAATCCCCCAACTCCACCGCTGCGAGCACCTAAAACTTAACATCTGAGACAAACTTAAGGAAACTTACTAAAATAAGCGTCCCAACTTTCTTACTATTCTTCCTAATTAATAAAAAAGGCTAAACTCTCGACAGTGTAAATCAATGAAGCACTTTTGATAAAGTAATTTTATAACCATTAAACATCTTTTAGTAAGACAATCAGTAAAAAAATAAGCAAAAACAAACCTTCAATGGGTTTAGTAACAACGCCTGTAATTCCTTCCACAACTCCGACGCCAACATCTTTAAATCCACGTGCCATACCTTCACCGAAATTCCGAGGTCTCCTGTTAAGCGCCTGTTGTCGCTTTCTTTGATAATCTTCGTCTAAGGTTAATGCAGCAACGCCCTATATTTGGGAAAACTAATGTTATAAGCAATCTTTTAATGCAAGATTTTACGTAAAAAACGCTTGAAAACGATTTGACAACTAATTACTAATGAAGCAAAACTTACCTTCCCTAAAGTGCCTGTTATACGAGAAGCTGCTCCAGTTGCACCACCAACGGTAGCACCGAACAGACTCTTTACACCGAGCGCAACTCCTTCCGCAAATTCTTCAGGTCCTTGAATAGCCCCCTAAACTGCTCTTGTAAAAAAAAAGAGAAACGTGAAAATAAAAAAGAGTATTTAACAAAAAAAAAGTCAACGAAAGAAAAGGGTATCAAAATACTTGGAAAGGTTGGTAGAAGAAATCTTCAACACCAGCAGTAAGGTCTCGGACAAGGCCAAACGGATTTCCGATAATGTCAAGCCCAAGAACCAGAACATATAACTGCTTTATCGCCTGTTTCGTGTAATGAGATACAATTTCTGACTGTAACTGCTGCTTGTTGTAAAAGATAAACTTCCTGTCGAAAAACGCAAGCCTAAACAAAGAAGGTAAACAAGCGAGCGCTCTAAATATAAAAAGTAATGAGCAAAAAATAAATTACACTAACTCACTTGAAAACAACATCCTGAAGCTCGGTTAGGGTTACGCCAACACTTTTCAAAAGTACATTGATAAATTCCGATTGAATCGGAACTACTTTATTTTTATCTTTTGATGATAAATGGCCTCCTTGAGAAAATGAAAAGTGTATCTAAAAAATTACTTTGTTCCCGTCAAAATCAAATTGCTGCTCATCATTAACAAAAAGACCCCCCCAAAAAAAATTGTGAGACGTCGGGAGAATTGCGTGCGCAAAAATAACATTTTGGTAAAAAATACTTTAGAAGGCTACTTCTGACCAGAAAATGAAAAAAAGGGACAACTTTGGGACTCAAAACAAATTCAAAAACTAACCATCAGGGGTGAAATATGAAGATCCTCGTAGAAGGCTTGCTGAGAAGAAGAAAATGAAGTCAGGGCTAACTGTGAAAGGTCGTATTTTGTTAATTCAAGGTCCTTCTCAAACATTTCTTTCTGCAAAACTATTACTATATTAAACACCAGTGGCATTACAAAAACCAAATTTCGTGATCTTCGGACAAACAAATTCAAAAGTTACACCTCAAAAACCGTGGTAATTACAAGAAGATTTTAAACGTCTGATACTAGTAGAAGTGCTTATAAACTAAGGAAATATCGAGCGTCCAGAATTACAAAAAAATTACAGTGTAAGGTTTTTGGTCGCTACTAGTAGTAACAAATCCCAAAAGCGCATTGATTAAACCTTGATCAATTTGAACAGCAAACTCCTGGACCAACAGGTGTAGATATTTGATATCTACGACATTGCTGTGCTCTTGCATCATCATAGTGAAACTTACTTCAAAGAACGGCTTAGGAGCTAAAAAGGGGAAACTTTCGTAGAATTCGTAAATCAAATGAATGAAAATGTAAAAAGAGAAACGTCTTTATGGGAAAATTGCATGTGGGGCAGTGAATAAAAAGGCAGTAAGAGGTGACTAGCCAAAAGATTTATGCACAACAATAAAAACTTAAAATGAGTCAAAAAAACTCCTAAATTTTTAAAAAGACACGTCCTGTTGAAAATTACTTTTCATTTTTTTCGCAACTGCATCGTCCTGCTAATTCCAAACATTAGAATATAAAAAAAATTTACCATTAGAGAGAAACAAAAACCAAGTGACGAAAGTAACACATAAAAAAACAAAAACTCTAATTACTTTCTGCAGCAACAACAGATTTTGGCTGTTCCACCATTGAAAGAACACATGGAAATATACATGCAGTCATCTGATTGTCAATTTGAAGATGATTAACCTACAAAATATGCCAGAAAATTTAATCTGCAGAAAAAATAATGGTAAAAATTAAAAAATAGATCTGCTACCACATAAAAATGATGAAAAACTGTCACAACTGCACCTCTGTAAATAGCAGATAATTTCTAGCAATTCATTTACATTCGTAATAACTTATTTCTTACAAAGCCACTGGAAAAAATCCACCTACTTAAAAACTCTACCTTGAGATGAAGTGCACTTCGACGAGCACCAGAGCTATACTGCAACCAAAGTCCCGTTTGGAATTGCCTACGAATTGATACCTAAACTTTTAGAAAACACAAATCGTTTCAGCTGTAATTTACTGTCTGTTTAATCAAAGAAGTGCAACTACCAAAAATTACCTCATTTTTTTTCTTTTTGAGTTTCATATTGGCAAAATCAATCTCAGACCCGTTAAGGTTAACTACACCTTGGCTTCCTGTATCTAACCACACCTGGTAAGCTTTTTCAATAGCATCTATTTCTGCAGACGTGAAAAGTCTGAAATAAATTTCAAAAAATTATATTTTGAAAGGCCTACCGATGAAAAGCTGCTGCATTTTCAAATACGAACTGTGTAAGTTTTAAACTAAATAAAAGCAATTTGTCGAATCTGCTAGAAAAATTTGACATCACGCTTCTGAGTTTCATATGAATGGCGACAAGGAAGCAATCAATTTTGCATCAAAAAAATTTTTTTAAGGACATAAACAAAAAATATTCAATACTAAAAAATATCAATTAATGCGAACCTGAACCGCGACTTTATAAACTGTTCCCAAGTTATAGCCGAAGAGGCAATACCAATGTATAATATCTCTTCAACATTCAAATTATCAACAATAGACAACCCAATACCCTGTAAACTCATTTCTATCTGCTGAGCGATTTCCCCAACTTCATTAGTTTCCTGAGCTAAGGCGAGTATGTTAACTTCATTAGTGAAGAGCAAAACTCGCTGACGACCATTGAGGAAAGAAATCTAAAAAATGCAATAGATAACAGAATAGATAAATAAATCTAATAAAACTGCATTTTAAAAAAGCTTCAAAGGGTGAAAAGTTCGACAGTGA